AGAGAGAGAGAGAGAGAGAGAGAGAGAGAGAGAGAGAGAGAGAGAGAGATCCAATTGGAACTGATAAATAACATTGGGGATAGAGGTAGTAGAAAGTTTCTTAGTGGGCAGCGCAACAATAAAAAAATGAACACAGTAGCCTCGTGTATGAGATTTTGTAGGGATTTCTGGGTTTAAAAAAACAGATTTTGTTTTTTAGTTGCAAAGTGTTTTACTTTTTGAGCTTAGAAGAAAGGGAAATGAGAGTGGTATGTGAAGAATGCCTTAATGGGGGCTGCATGTTCTTTTGCCACTGAGTTCCTGGCATTTGTAACATAACTTTAATATTCTTACACTTTATAGGGGGAGGAACTGCGGGGGAAAAAATGGTAGACTAGGAAAAAAGAGGTAATAGGAAAGAAAGGAAAACCTTAAGGAATTACCTGTGGGAAGTCAACCCCCCAGAGAAGAAAATATTAAAAGGGCAGAAAAATATATTTCCTCAAAAGGATTTTAAAAGCAGAAACCAACCCTGCCCCCAAGTCTTTTCTGTCCCAAGCAGAAGCCAGCTCTGTACAAATGCAGGTGTAAACCATCAGAAAGGCCCCAGCTAGGAGATCAAGAAGACAAAGACACCTAAAATCTGCATACTCCACCCAAACTCTAAGAGTCATTAGCCCCAGCACCAGGGAAGCAGGATATGACCTTTGGGACATAATAGGATTAACCTACCACCATCAAGAATACCAGAAAGGCACACCCAGACTCAGGTCAGAATACATGACACAGGAAATACAAAGCCTAAAACAGGAACAGGAAACTACTTCAAACAAAAGGCTTCAGAGGGTATAAAAACCCACTCCCCACAGTGCTCAGTCCTTTTTTCTCTCCTCTCTCCTGCCAGAACCATCTTTCTGTTTGGCTCTTCAATAAACTGCAACTTTCTTTCTAAAGCAGTTGTCATGTTGTTTATCCCCGGCTTGGATGAATCATGATGAAGACTTTTCCTTCAACATACCCTACAGTAAATCTGTTTTTGGGTTTGTTTTTGAAGCAAGCATCTTTCCTGAATGGAACTCTTCCGCATAATTATGTGTAAATAATTATATTTGCAACTTGAAATAGCCTTCCTCAGTCTAGTAGTCTCCAGATAATGAGGGGATTCAAGATTATGGGACTTGTAGTCCAACACATTTGTTGAATGCTAAGTAGGGAAGACAGAACTGAGAATAAAACACAAAGAAATGTCCTTTTTCCCAAGCATCTTTGAGATTATGTGTCGTTGAACTTTTAAAGCATTAATTCATTTTTTTAGTGTATGTGCACTATGAGTTTATTGTCCAAAAGAGGTTTGATGGGTGAACTATTTCTGCTCATGCAAACAATAACATGCCTATTTCAACTCTACAAAAGGTCTTTGAAGACAATCATGCTCATGACAGGAAGCTGAGGAAATTAAATAAACATGTTGATCTTCAGACATATGACAAGCACCTTTAACCTTATAAAACCTTTTTGTTTAGTAATTAATCTTCACAAGTTTTGGAGAAAGTCCTCTTATGGCATTGGAATGAGATATGCTTGTTTCAAATTCATTGGTCATGGTTAAACTTTCATGATTTATTAACTATAGCACTCCATGAAGCTATGCTAGAAAAACTGACTACTGACTGTACAGTAAGGACAATTATTCTTCACATACTGAACTGAAAAGTTCAAGGGGGGGGGTTGTATCATATTCAAATATTTGCAGATAAATTGTAATCAGACATATTCAGAAAAAAATTCTATGCCAAATCAGATTCATTCGTAACTGGACTACTATGCAAAGCATAGCAGACTCAATTTTATAGTTAGATGACTTAATGAGGAAATAACTAAGTCTTGCATGGAGATTATTTGGCAACAAAACCAAGAACCCAGTTCAGATGCTGGACTTTTTGCCAATGTAGCAATAAAATTATTGCCATAGTGAACCAGACTGTTTTGTACTAGCAAACAGCTAGTACAGCTGTTAGCTGTGAACTCCCATACTTCAGTAAAATACTACAAATCTGTTTGTTTGTTTGTTTGTTTAATTTATATGCTGCTCATCTCACTATCAAGAGACTCCTGTATGCAGGAGTGAACAGAAACTGTGTAATGTGGAGTTGTGAATTATCAAGCTCAATACTTGTGTGAGTACAAAATATAGTAACATGACATTCTGACTGTGCCAATATGAGAGATGCTGTAAACATTTGTTTCATTAATAGGCTCAGTGATCCTTTGAGACTTTCAGAAATAGCAAATATATTTGGTATACATGAATGAGTGAGAGTGTTTTGAAATGAATTCAAAATGAGTTTTTTTAAAACTTAATTTTGAAATTCAAAATAGCAAATAGAAGACAAATCAATGAAGCTGCAGGCTAAGCATCTAAGACGAATTGTTCTTGTTTTAAAAAAAGATGTAATCTTCTTTTCTGAGGGAAAGGTCATCTAATTAGTTGGAAACCAATAGTTCTGTGAGCCTGCCTCTCATTTTGATCAGGGAAAGCAAAGTGAAGTTCATCATAAATTGAGTGGAAAACCGGGGTAGGTTTATACGAATTTAACCATTTCCTAATATTTTACCTACTGAAAATTTCCCTATATTTCTCTCCCTCCTCCAGGAGATAGGTGTGGTGGAGGAAAATAACTTTATTCTTTACATAGATCATGTTTCTCCAATCTGGGCATCCTCCAGACTGTGGATTTCAACTCTAGTACTGGTAAGCACCTCAAATGCAAATTATTTTGAATGTGAAACAATCCATTTCAAATCCAAAACAATTTATTTAAAATAGGCCGGTTCAATAATTTAAGCAG